CTCAAGAGGAACAGACACCCAGGCTCGTGGGCTCGCACTGCGGCAGAGTTGATGGCAATGGTAGCCCAGACGATCTCACCCCCCTTCAGGGCCCGGTGTTCACCCACAGCGGGCCTCTACAGGGTGAAGCTGGAGGCTGACATGACTCCCACTGTGTCATTCTCTTTGGGGCCACGTGGTCTCCCATCCCTGTCGTCCACTCTTCCTGAGAGGCAGATGCAGCAGCTTATTGGCCATCCACTCTCCTTCCTTTACTAGCAGGACCTCAGTTGGATGGAAATAGCCTATGGTCAATTGTCCTAATGTGTTGCCCACTTTCCTAGCCTCCTTTATGCTCACTGATAGTCATGTATAAAACTGGACAAATGAGACCTTAGAAAATTGCTGAGAATTCTGGGAAATTTCTTGCTTTTCCCATTTGGTGGCCCCTCTTCCTTTTTTTTTTTCTTTTGGTTGTGATGGCTAGAGCTGAAGCACCAACATGGAGCCATGAGGGAAGAGATAAAAGCATCAGGAAGAGATCAGTCAGCCTTGAGCATCACTGAGACCCAGAAACAACATTACCAAGCCTTATGTATAAAACAACAAAAAGCAAAACCTCCCCACTCTTGTGTTGTTAAGTCACTGAGACCTAGAAACTTTGTTCCTTGCCGCTGAGGACACTACCAATTCTTAATACTCTCATCTAATTTGGAATTTTTCCAAATTCCAATCATCTCCATATCATCTTCAGGATTTCTGCCCTATCTACTCAAGCATGGTGTTTGCTGTGGTTTGGCTAAGTGCCTCCAAAGGTCTATATGTTAAGGGCTTGGTCCCCAAGGCCGCAGTATGGGGAGATGGTGAAAGCTTTGAATAGCTCTAATGGGAGGTCCTTAGGCCACTGGGAACCTGTTCTCAAGAGAGGATTGTGGGCTGCTGTGGTGGTCCACTTCCATAGCCCCAGAACTCAGGGGTCTGAGGCAGGAAGATCACCATGAGTTCAAGGTCAGCCTGGGCTACACAGCGAATTCAAGGCCATCTTAGAATACATAGCAAGATCCTATCTGAAAAACAAAAAATTAAAATAAAATAACAAAGGGAATTATAAGAGTCTGGCCTCTTCTCTGCTTCCTAAAATGAGTGTCTGCCTATCTATAAACCCAAAGCAATGGGGGTCACTTTATCCTGGCCTGGAAACTCCCAAACTGCGAATCAAAATAACCTTTTGTTCTTTATAAGTTAGTTATCTCAGATGCTTTATTATAGTAACAGGAAGCTGACTAAAACAGTAGTTTCCTTAAATCAACTGGCTTTTTTAAAACTTAAATGTCTGTTTTGGCTGCATGAATTTCATGTATGAGGTTCTTTTTTTCTAATGCACATTAAAATAATGATTAAAAGTAAAAGATTCACCATCCCAAAACAGGCTCTTTCTACCAATGATGTTCTTTGCAAAAGCAAAACCAGCTATGTTTCTGTCTCGGATCTCTACTCAAAATCCTCAGATGAAAAGTTGTTCATCCAATTCTCCTGAGTCACATGGCACTTCATACCACCCACTTCTCTAGGAAATAGAGGTGACTGATAAATCTGCTTAATTATGAGACTTACACAGGATTAATATCATGATTACTGATGTGGATTTTTGGAGTGTGGGGAGTATCAGGACCTTGTGCTTGCCAGGTAGACACTGTGCCACTGAGCTATAGCCCTGGCCCTACTGTTTTTGTTGGCAGTGGTGGTGGTGGTAGTAGTAACTGGTCTTGTTTCAAAACTAAGACAACTGCAAGCCAGGCACAGTGATACACAACTGTTATCCCAGCAGTTGGAAGGCTGAGGCAGTACAATCTCAAGTTTGAGACTAGCCTAGACTACATAGACAGTAAGACCTGGTCAAAAAAAAAAAAAAAGCCCTAAACTGTCTGCCCACTTGAAGATAAGTTAGGGAATATTTGTCAGCTCTTTTTTGTCTGGGCAGAGGAGGCTTGCCAGATAGCTCAGTTGTTTAAAGCGCCACTTGGGCAAATGCAGTCAGGTGTAAGGGACCACAGTTCAATCCTCAGCTCCACAAGCCATACCAGACCTGCCCTTACGGTAGCCTGAATCAGCCCCCCCCCAAAAAAAAATCCTTTTTTATCTGTGCAGAGAAAACTGGCTAGGGAAGCAATGAGAATGCCCATGTCAGCTGGTACTGCTGGTCCCTCAGAAGGAAGTTCTCTCTCTCCTGTTGCTTGCCAAGTCCATTTCACAGCATCCTCCATGTGCTGTCCACTTGGTGACAACAGTAGCATTTCAAGTAGGTGAAGAAAAATGGGTGTTTAACCCATGGTGTAAGGATAGTTGGTGTTATGGCCTGTGTCTTGATGTCCCCCTAGAGCCTGACCCCCATCATAGGTTGGTTTTTTTGGAGGTGGCTAGATCTAGAGTGTGTGATGCTAGGATTAAAGGTGTGATGCTTGAATTAAGTGCTACCTGCTTGCTTTATTTATTTATTTATTTATTTATGTCTTTTTGAGTTTAAAAAACTGTCCTATGCAGTTTAGGCTGGCCTTGAGCTCACTTTGTAGCCCAGGCTGGTCTTGAACTCAATGATCCTCCTGCCTCTACCTCCTGAGTTCTGAGATTACAGGCATGAGCCACCACACCCGGCACTACCTGCTGCAAGAGTGAGTAGGCTGGATGGATGCCAGTGACGGAAAGAGGGCTGCTGCCATCACTCGCCACTGTGCATCTGCTGCTGCTGCTGCTGCTGCTGCTGCTGCTGCTGCTGCTGCTGCTGCTGCTGCTGCTGCTTGTCTTCCGCTGTCGCTTGCCTGCTTGGCGATGCCCCCCTGCCTTGGAGCCAGCCAATAAAGGACTGAAACTTCTACACTGAGCCAAAACAAACCTTTCCCCTTTCCTCCTTCAACTTTAGGTGTTAAGTGTTTTATGTCAGCAATGAGAAAAGTAACTAAAACAGTTGGAAAATTTGTAGGAAAATATTGGTTTTTGGTTTGTTTGTTTGTTTGTGTGTTTGTTTTTTGGGGGTGGAACCAGGGATTGAACTCAGGACCTTTTGCTTGTGAGGCAGGAGGGAAAATATTGTTTTTCTCTGATTCATTGAGCTCATTCCACTCACAAACACACACAGATACAGAAATTCAGATGAATCAAAGACATGAATATAAATCATAGTGCTTTTATACAGTAGACTATAATGCCACAATTATTATGATTATATATATATGTACACATGTACACACATATATATATTAACAAGGAAATACTTAATGTTGAATGAAAAAGTAGGTCATAAATAGAATGATGCCATTTGCATTAAGAACATCAAAAAGGCAAATTTCAATTCAGTACCAATAACTTTATTTTTATGGAAATGCAGAATTATTTAATTAGTGATTGCATAAGATCAACTATTCAAAGTAATACACATAAAAAGTTTTTCCTTGGGCATGAGTAACTCAGTGGTGGAGCATATGAAATCCTGAGGCTAAAGCTCCACCACCAAAAACAAATACATACATAAACTTCTATCATCCAGATAAATAATTGGTTCCAAAGAAGCAACTAGGATATAATCATGTGTCATTTATCCAATTAAAAGTAAAGAGAAAAGAGTAAAATTTTAAAGGAAAAATTAAACCACTAAGTAATAGAATAATCATAAAAGTGTTTTCATAGTCTTAAGATGGCAACCAGCTCTCTTAGTCCCAGTGACAAGAAATGAACTGTTTGACATATTCGATATGAAAATATCACAACTCCATGTGGCAACATAAGCCAACAGAATAGTTTTTAATTATCCTACCTATGTCTATGTTTATTGTCTCTTAGACAAACAAACTGGAAAAATATGATAAAGAGTGGTATTAAGCTGTGGATCATATTTTGTAATAAATAATATTACAGGACCAGTAGCAAGATAAATAAAAGGCATAAAGAAGCCAGACATAGTGGCACATGCCTGTAGTCCCAGCTACTTAAGAAGCTGAGGCAGAAAAATTGCAAATTTGAGGCCTTGCTGGGCAATTTAGCAAGACCCTGTCTCAAGAAACAACAACAACAACAAAACCACAAAGTGTGTCATAAAGAAGACATGCAAATGGCCAAAATTCTCATTCAAAAGGTTCCAAATCATCAATAATTGCCCAGAAGCAACTTTAATGAAATATCATTTTTCTCTGACATGGGCAGGATTCAAAAGATGTTTAATAGCCATTTGTTGGCAAGAGTAGGAGAGGGATGCCCTAGCATTCCACTGATGGAACCCTAAACTGACACAGCCTTCTGGGGGTTAATTTGGAAGCTAGATATCAAAATTTGAATGAGTGTCTAGGTGGCCTTCCTGTAGGGATTTATTCTCACAGGTGTGCAAACTCACAGAAATAAAAATGGCCACTATTTTGAAAAGTTAGAAATAGCTAAGCACACATACATAGGGTTTTGGCTAAATTTGTGAAAATTGAAGCTGTCATGGAAACCAAGCAGGTGTGGTGAAAGGTACGGATGGCTTTCAGCTATTGACACAAAACATATATTAAAGTGAGAAAAGATCTCACACAATTCCATGTATAAAGCTATTCTCTTTGATCCTTCAGTGTGATGATTGGGTGTTCATGCCTTATGCATGAAATGTGCCTCCTTCAAATCTTGTTATGACATGGAGACATTACCCATCTGATGTAAAATAAATAAATAAAATTTTTAAAAATAAATGAAGTTACTCTCTTTTACTGTACTAGACAACCTGCTGGTGAGGTGCACACCATCATACTTATCTCTATGTGTGTGCATTACCTAGAATTTCAAGGCAAAGTTTGTATAATACTTAAGCTTTTTACAAGGAGCTTTATATGATGGCAAAGGTCAATACAATCTCATTCTAGTAGCTAGGCATGGCAGCTCATGCCTCAGGGAGGATGAGGCAGGAGGATGGCAAGTGCAAGCCCAGCTTGGGCAACCTAGTGACTTATTGAGACTTTGTCTCAAAATAAAAAGAAAAAAAATTGAAAGGGCTGGGGCTTATAGCTCACTGCAAAGGCCTATAACCTATGGGACCACAGAGGGTGAAATTTCATTTTGCAAAACTAAGGAAGACATACGCTATGCGCAGTCCTTTGAAGGACTAATTAGTATAGTCTGTCATTCCACCAATATTAAGCTCGATAGATGGTGCTGCTTCAAGTATTAGGGTAGAACAGAAGAGCTGAGCAGGAGCCCTGGGAATTCATCTTTACTTCCTAACCCCAAACCATGACATCCAGGTGTCTGAGCTGCTTTTCTCATTGCTGAGACAAAATATCCAACACCCATCCAAGGCAGGGTGGCACATGCCGGAGGGAGACACTTTGTGGCAAAAGATCACAAAAGCAACAAGAGGCCTGAATAGTGTCTCTCTGCCCCTTTTATTTTATCCAGACTCCCGGGATTAAGGTGGTGCCAAACCAATCAGTGGACTGATTTAGTAACCACACAGCCTTAATCCCAGTATTACACACTCTAGATCCAGCCACCTCTGAAAAAGCCCTATGACTGCGTGAGGCTTTGAGGGGACATCTAGACATGGCCACAATACCTGGGCACTTCACGCACACCTTCCTCTTTGACTTCTGCCATGAAGGAGTTGCTGTCCCTTAGCCCTGCAAACCCCACCACCTGTGCCTTGGAGTCTCTCTCCTCATTGTCTCAGAAGCCTCAGGGTATTACCATGCTTTCTTAATCTCCAACCTCTCCTTCTGGCCTATGTTCTGGTTGTCAGCAATGAAAACTGTTCATTCACCCTCCATATTAAATAGCATGAATGGAGGAAGAGGAGAAGGCAGGGGGGGAATTATGGATGGAATTATTGGGGGAAGAAAAAAAAGGTAAAGGAAAGAAACATCTAAGAATATTCTCAGTGGTGATAACTTCTAAACGTTGTCAGAAAAATGTAGTGAACATGACAAAAAATATGATTGAGAAAGCAGTATAAAAGCAGGACTAAGTCCCCCGGGCATGGTGGCACATGCCTGTAATCTCAGCACTGGGGAGGCTGAAAACAGGATGATCACTGTAAGTCTGAGCTGCATAATGAGACCCTGCACCAAAAAAAAGCAGGACTATCTTAGAAGGCAGGGGCAGGAAGACAGATATAAACTCAAGGCCAGCCTAGGCTACCTAGTGAGTTCAAGGCCAGCCTAAACTATATTGTGAAAGCCTGTCTCAAAAAAATGTTTAAAAAAAGCAAGATCATGAGCTAGGCAGAAAAGGTGCCTTCTGTCCCTCCAACCTCAGACCCTACCCAGTCGTGTATGTCCAAGACCCTCTCTTGGTGTTAGAACTTGGACAGTCTCAACAGTGGATGGTCCATCTCTCTCCAGATATGCCTCAGCCTCTCCACCCCACAGGCAGACTTCTCAAAAGAATTATCTGCTCCCCTCCACTCCTCAACACCTGCCCACCCCTCCAGCTCTGCAATCAGCGGCTAAGTCCAGCGCCCCATGGAAGCCACGGAGCTCTCAGTCCGTCTCAGCTTCACTCCCGCACTTGATGCCACCCTTTCATCTATATTTTTCTTGCTACCCTTTGCCAGCATATTCTCTCAGGACCAAATTCTAGCACAGGAGCTCCAACAGGAGCTGCTTTCTCTCTCCATCTGCCTTCTTCTTGGATTATCTCATCCAAGACAGGACAGTAATCGCTGCATAAACTGGTGGTAGACATGCCTGTAATTGCAGTACTCAGCAGGCTGAGGCAGGAGGATCACTGCAAGTTCGAGACCAGCCTGGGCTATACAGTGAGCTCAGATTTGTCTCAAAAAAAAGCCCCTCTTGTATGCCCTTCCCTAAAATACAAAAAAAAAAAAAAAAAAAAAAAAAAAAAAAAAAAGCACCCCCCCCAAAAAAAAAGTTATCATTGCAGAAGTGTGAATGATTCCTGAAAATGTGTCATCCATGGAGATCTCAAAACTGGCCTCCAAGAGAGCTGATCTTGTCAATATCTCCACTTGGGTGTCCTACCCATTGGAGGAAGAACCTGTGACTTGCTTCCAATTAGAATATGAACCAGGTGATAGCTGTGAATAGCCTCCTTATTTATATTACCTTATACAGCAAAGGCAACAAAATGTCACTCAGGATTGCACTGTTCCATAAGACCCCATCTCAGAAGGCTGGTGTGAGAAAGACTCCCTTGGTGGCTTTGGGCAAGGGAGCTGTTGTGGCTGTGGGTGGTCTCTGGCAGCCAGAAAAGGCAAGGGACATGCCTGCCATGTGACAATCACAGAAAGATGAACTTGACCAACTACCTGAGTAAAGCTGGGAATAGGTCCTCCCCCAACTGAGCATCTGATGAGACCACAGCCCTGGTCTTAACATCTGAACTGAAGTCTGGTGAGACGCTGAGCTAGGAACTGCCTGGACTCACCAAAGACCCAATCAAAACTCTATCAACAAAGAGGCATCTGAGATGCCTCTCAGAAGATGCACCTTGGGGCCAGGGAGATGGCTCAGTAGGATAAGTGCTTGACTGGCAAATGCAAGGATCTGAGTTCAATCCCTGGTTCCACCAAAAAAAATAAATAAATAAAAAGATGCACCTCTCAGATGAAGAAATACAAAAGGCAAATAAATATATTTAAAAATGTTCAACATCTTTGGTTGTTTGAGAAATGTAAATTAAAACAACACTGAGATTCCATCTCACCCCAGAAAGAATGGCTATCATCAAGAAGTCAACCAATAACAACTGCTGGAGGGGCTGTGGGGAAAATGGAACCTTTCTCCACTGTTAGTGGGAGTGTAGATTAGTGGAAAATCTACCACTGTGGAAATCAGTGTGGAGAGTCCTCAGAAAACTAGGATTAGATGTTCCATTCATCCCAGCTATTCCCCTCCTGGGTCTTCCCAGAAGAACTGAAAACACCATGTCACAGCAATATATGCACACCCATATTTATAGCAGCACAATTTGAGATAACTAAATCTTGGCAACAGCCCAAATGTACCTCAACTGAAGAATGCATAAAAAAGTTGTATTTTTATACAATGGAGTATTATTCAGCTATAAAGAAAGATAAACTCAAGGTTTTTATTGGTAAATGAATACAACTAGAGATCTTACTCTTAAGTGAAATAAATCAGACCTACATAAGTAAACCTCATATTGTCTTGCTACCGTAAGAAACTGAAAGAGTAAATAAAATCCAAAAGATACAATAGGTATTGTAAAAGGGAAAGAAATTGCCCAAAGGAAAGAATTACTGGAATGAGGGAAAGGAGAAAAGAAAGAAAAGAAGAAGGAAAAACTATATGTTTACACACACAAGATAGCTAAGATATTGTATTACTAATTTCTACTGGTTTATTGAAAGGAATAGTTAATGCTTAATTTTTTGATCAGTTTTACATGCATATATCTGGTGAAGACAACAACACACAATAGAACAACAATTGTTGAATTCTTACCATCTTTTTTAAAATTCCATATTGTTTCAATGCTTTTTATTATTTTTTGTTCTCTTTAAAATAAAAAATCTACTGTATTTGTCAAAAAAAAAAATCTGGATTCTTGACCCCACACATTGTGAGAGAGTGAATAGTCATTAATTGAGAAGGCTGATTTGTGAGTATTTGTTACTCAGCATGGAAAACAAGTAGAGCATCTACCCAACCCATCACAATAATGTTTTAATTTCTTTACTGAAACAATTCCTGAAGTGATATAAAATAATTCAGCCACAAATTATGGTGAATTTATACAACACATTATAAGGATGTAATTAGAAAACAAATACTATACATGTATTAGCAAGAAAATAGTTAATGTTCAATGAAAAAGTAGGTTATAAATAG